ATAGCTCAATTTCATTGTCCTGTCCTGTTGGTTTTAATCTTGCGAGGTCTTAAAGTTGCATATCGTCTGAAAGGCACTTTTATTAGGAATGGAATGGCAAACAGAAAGTATGCCACAACCTTACTAAGGTCACAAAAATGCCCTTTACAAAAAACCCTTACAGACACCATATTTAAGGAATGGTATTCTAAATAAATGTAGGAAATCAACAATGTTCTCCACACTTTTCCACTCCGAAATATATCCTATCGAATTCGCCACTTTCTTCTGCACAAGACAACGCCTAGTTTGGCTGCCGAAACTTGCCTGAACACGGAATATTCACATTAGAGTATCTTAACACCCCACTCGAGGAGCGCTAGGGCAAACAGCACGATATAGGTATGTTCCGGACATAGGCGAATAATTTTACTTCGTGATTTATATGATGCATATTTTCTGAGACACATTCATTAGGAATAGGATGACAAGCGTAAATTATACATACCGTAACCTTATTAACCATCGCACTTGTGGGGAGGGGGAGGGGGAAGGGGTCGGATAAAACCCCATGGTTTTCCGCAAATTACTCGCGCAAAAAGCGGCCGATCGCGCCGAAACTTTCGGTACCCTCGAGATCATCAATTTTACATCTAACCTAAAAATTTCATGACTCTGACCCAACTGACCTTTGACCTGTGGCATATTTCTCGAGACCATGTTTGGCCGGAATCGCGATTCGGCGTATGCCAGCTCACATTATCCGCGGTTTCCAGTCTTTTTGTGGTTTTAAACGTTCAAATATGTGAAATGATGTTGGTGCCATGCATAATGGTGGGAGTCAAGGTCACGTGAAGGTCAAGTCAAGGTCATTGACCTTTTGATGACCTTGGTTCACTTTTTCGAGTTTTACTTGTTTCTAGGGTAGTTTTTGGTGCTGATTTCGATTTTAGCAGCCATTTGAATATTTACGAAGTAGTTCTAGTGCCTTCGTTCCATGTTACGAAGCTATCAGTAGTAGGTGACACTTCTATGGATGGCCGGCAGGACGCCTACTAATTGATCTAACGTGACCTGACCCGACCTGGCCTAAATGCATAAAGACATCGTCTGTGATCAAAACTAACATGAAATTCGTGATCAGCACCCCAAAATACCCCGTAACACCCTAACTTTGCGAAGTTTCAAGAGGTCTCGATTTCCCAACTTTAGTTGGGTCATTAAACTGACTTGGAAAGTCAGCTTATGACCTTGGACTTTGAAATTAGATATATTCGGCCTAATTTCGTCATAGGCAGCACGCTTGACTTTTCCGCGAAGCTCTAGCTTGATCAGGGGCCAAACGGCTGAGCGGGGGGTCCAATTGAACCCCCTATACTATGTTGATTATACACATTTACAGGTAAAATTCTCACCAGGACACACCAGCCAACATCTGTGCACAATCTCGCTACAATTCTACCTATGGTTTGCCCTCTACGAATAAATAGGTGCTAGATCGGAAAAAATCCCCACTGTGCGATGGCGCTCAAATTTGGTACATGGTTAGGGACCGGTTAGTAGGGTGCCGTGCAAAAGTCAGTTGGGACCCATTTTGCACGTGCGCACGTGCAGGGTGCCGCCTCCAGATCTCGAGAACGGCTGGGCCGATTGTGCTCAAATTTGGCACATCGCTAGAGACCGGTTAGTAGGGTGCCGTGCACAACTCAGTTGGAGGTACCCCCTCGCAATTTCGCACGTGCAAGGCTCACCCTCTCGCTCGCTCCGTTAGTCGCCCCAAAAGGCGTTATACTGGTGGTAATGCTCGCTTTAGTATTCATCCACAGGAGAAAGTCATTATCTTAATTGTGATATATCCCATAAAGAGTGATTCTCGTTCAAGCTATAAACAAGGTATCTTGGTAAAATCTTAATTGAGATAGGAACAGCGAGATAATAATGTTCTCAAAGCATGAAAAGCGTCTGCCGTTCTCGTAGAAAATGCGCTAATTAGGGCCGTCTTTGTAAGTGCACCGCAGGAGTCACTTAGAATCCACCTTTGCACACATATACGCACGGGTGGAACTTTGTGCGGAGCTCAAGCTGGTAGGGCCCGGGCGCAGCAAATCCGCCGCCGCCCATAGCGGTGACCTTGACCTCCGCGGTGTAGTGCCCTCCCATCCCGTATTGTTGATGGGGAGGGGAAGTGTAGTGCCCTCCCGTCCCGCTGAACTTGGTCCGCCTATTCTGGTTGTGTGACGTCAGCCGCGACCCGATGTTGACCGGCCACAGGGCGGCTGGCGCGGAAAGTGCCGAATACACGCGTCCTGCCGTGGTCTGGCTCTCCAAGTACTGGAAGCGGATCATGGCCAGACGGACGTCCCGACCCTGCTGCAGAAAACGTTTGGCGACAAGCGACCGGAGACCGCAGCTGCGCAGCTAAGTACCGCCCGAAAGGGTAGTATGCCAGTACTTGACTACTCTGTACTGATTCAGCAACTCGTCCGTGCGGCATGGCCCGAGTTTTTCGACGAGTCGGGAATGGTGAAGAAGATTTGCGTCCCATCCCATCAGGCTGCCCTTTACCGGCATTTCCTGGTGGGTTTGTCATCAGAGGAGAGAGTTTTGCTGTCACGACAGTGTGCTAAATCGTTCGAAACAGCGGTCGACGAGCTGAAGAGAGAGGAGTCTATCTCTTCTCTGACCGATGACGAATGCTGTCGTTCGCGTGGTGTGCACTGGGCAGAGAACTTGACGGTTCAGGGTGCCTAAGGCGGTGATTTGACCTCGTCTCGGTGTGACCTGGGCCCCGGCGCGCCACCTGCCTGAGGCGAGCGCCGCGGCTCGGCCTCCCGTTTGCCGCGCGGTGGCCGGTCGCTTAGCTCAGAGAAAGTGGACTATCTTCGAATTAGAGGTGTTCAGTTTTATCATTGGTTTAACAAAGTTTTTTTTTCAAATATTTGGCTGATTCTGAGTTCACGTGGGTCTGTGACTGTAAAAGTGTTCTTCAAATATTGCGTAATCAGGATGACACAAATTCGCGTTTGGCGCGATGGAGGATTTTCGTGAGTCAGTTCCGCTATATATCAGCACACAGACGAGCGGAACACATGCAGCATGCGATATGTGAAGCCTGTTTCTGAGCGTGCCGTGTAATGTGTGATTTGAAGTAATCTTGTTTTGCTTGGCCGATGCATGTTGCGAGCCAACTTGTTTCGTTGATAAGGAGGGGAAGTGTAGTGTCCTCCCATCCCGTATTGTTGATGGGGAGGGGAAGTGTAGTGCCCTCCCGTCCCGCTGAACTTGGTCCGCCTCAGCCGCGACCCGATGTTAACCGGCCACAGGGCGGCTGGCGCGGAGAGTGCCGAATACACGCGTCTCCGCGGTGATTGCGTTTGGTGCGGTCCGCCCCAACGTGCGGCGAAGGAGTGGGAACTAAGAGCCACGACACGCGGTCTGTGGCGGCTCCAAAGCCAAGCCGGCGTCGAATTTGGAGAGCTCGGGCCCTCCCAGCTCGGCACAAAATTCCGCCTATGCATATAACTACCTACATAGGTACCTATAGCCAGAGGTGGGCATCGCTACCGAAATTTGGAAACCGCTACCGCTACCTTCCGCAACCAGAGGTACCCAAAGCGCAATCGCAACTCCGAAACTATTTTTCAGATCTTGAAACCGCAACTCGCAACTCCGCAACTCCGCAACTCCGCTACCCATCTCTATTAGGTACCTATGTTTTATCAGTTTTCGTCCTGAAGTGCAGTGCTATGTCTGATAGGAGTGATAGGACATAGCATTGCATCCTTTTGAAGGTCACCAGAGGTCATCAAAGTGAAAATGTTCCCAATTTTCCCGAATTTTGATGAATTTCAGCTTCAGACGCTCTAACTCGTGAAAACGGCTTTTATCGGCCATAACTTCTAACATAATTTAGCTAGGTCAATAATCTAATCCCCATAGCATTTCTCCACCAAGGCGCGTCGTTTCGATGCCATCAATGATATACAAGATGACCTCGAAAGGTCAAATTTAAAATTTGACTTCAGTTCAAGGTCACGACCTGACCCAAATAGGTCATGTTGCATATCAATTGATTAGTCTTGACGAGATAAACACAATGAACTTGTCCTGGAACCTGTATCTCGCTTCAATCCCGTATCTCGGTGGTGGCCCCGGTAGCGGTTGCGCTTTAGAATTTTTCGCTTCCGCAACTCGCAACTCCGCAACTTTTTGGGGCTCGGTAGCCGATCCGTAACTCCGCTCTCATGAGGGTAGTCCGCTAGTTGCGGAGTTGCGGAGTTGCGGACCTAAGTTGCGCAATGCCCAGCTCTGCCTATAGCATACGTTATGCGTTTCTTACAGGTATCTTCGTGCGCACCACCAAGCCCGCTAATTTAAACAATGGTCAATCGATTGCGTTTAAGGTTATATGCTGCTATCGGCCAGTTAGACAAGTGAGCTATGAGACAGCTGGGGTCAAAGTTTGCACATGCACACTGCAGGTCCCAGTTCCAGGGTCCGATATTGTGCTCGGATCCCTGGATGGGCTGGAATACCCAGGCTTGTTTTGTAATGTGACATTTTAGCTGTGCTTCCACTACCAGGATCAGGGACTCAGGAGTATAAGTATGGACTGGGCTAGTCAAGATGGACAAAAATAGCTGACAATTTCATTTCCTTGGTGATATTTTAGGTGATTTTGTGTAAAAGCCATTATGTCAGCTAGGTCTAAATAAAACATCCATGAATATCAATTATTGACCATGACAACTGCTTTTGATCACACTTTCAAGGAGGCACCAACATGACTTAGCAGATGGCCAATCCTCATTTTTGCTTATGATGTTATCTCAAAACTTTGGAACAATAATGTTCCTCAGATTGTCACGGCCCAAAGTCAAGCTAAGGGTGGGGCAATAGAGCTGGGGTCGGGTTGGGCATTACAAGCCCAGCCCAGCCTCTTTTTGGTTCTACTAGATCACCACATGGTTAAGAGATACAAAGTTATCACAGCAAAACAGTATTTATCACCTTGCACTCACCTAATAGTCTAATTGGTGTGTCCCTGTACAAATCAACTTCTGGTGCACTTTCTTTTGGTGCTGATTCTTTGTCTTGGGCATCCACCATGGTTCTGGATTCTGAAACAGCATGAAAATACCCCATCAAAACATGTGTAAATGTTACTATAAGTCAAATATTTCAAGCCTAGGTATTGACATCATTTGCAGCACATTCGCAGAATATAAAATGGCAGTTCACTTCATATTGTGACTTCTCACTTCCATGGTACAAAGTCTGAACACAAATAAAACAAAGATACTGGCTACACACAGCAAATATGACACTAAATCATCAAGAAAATGAAATGTCTTGAGTCAAATCCCTCTTTGCACCCTGGGCTTGGAAAAAAATCACAAAAGAAAAAGAACCAATCTTCATTTCAGGGTCACCGCCCACCGGTCATGGGAAAAAATAACCATTTTCCAGATAATTTAAGAGTTATTTGACGCAGAAAGCTCTAGGGTCGACCTAGCAATAGGGCTAAAAATGGAAAAATTCAACACATTACCCGCCTGATAATCCAAATCCCAAACAAATAACAAATTGAAATCCCAAAGCTTTTGCAGCGAAACTCGCAAGCGCTGAAATTGAAACTCCTGCGCCATTTCTGTCAGAGGCACTAATCAATGTCCGTGAAGTTAGCGTCAGCAACAGCAACGAATACAGCGTCGGATTCAGAATCGCTTCAAAAACTGCCATCAGGTCAATTGGGGGACGGGGAACACGAATATGACATTTATTTTGCCCTAGCTCCCTTCCTTCAACCCTTAATCGTCCCTTAAAGGACGGGGCGCGTCAAAAGTACCCCAAGGCTTCGTCTGATCGCCAAAATAATGGTCGCAATCGATTCCTCGGGTCAATATCTAACCTCAGTCGAAGGTTCCAGACATGTGGCTCCTATCCCTCATCCCTTAATCGTCCCTTAAAGGACGGGGCGCGTCAAAAGTGCCCCAAGGCTTCGTCTGATCGCCAAAATAATGGTCGCAATCGATTCCTCGGGTCAATATCTAACCTCTATCTAACCTCTCTATCTAACTATATCAATATCCATAGGTGTAGCAACGTATCTCTTTGGTGAAGGATACCTTTCACCAAAGTTTCAGATTGGTGAAGGATCCTTCACCAATCTTGGACAATGCAAGGGAGGGTCTTCACCTCACGTGCATAAAGTTGCATTATATTCACATTCAGATTCGCGTGCACATTCGCGGACCCCTCAGATTTGGCTCAAAATTGCACAGCTTATAGATTTTGAGCTCCTGATTGCGAAAATCATGTTTTTATTTCACGTCGTCAAGTGGTTCTCAAATTATTCACATTTGTATTACTGCTAACATATTCTGGACCGTAACCCTTATTGGAAAAACCGGACCCCTCCAAATTTTTCAAAAACTCCTGAGTTGATGTAAACATAAGCGCTGATCCCAAAAAACTAATTTGTACTTAACGCCGTCGCACAGTTTTCTCAGGATGAGCATCTTAAGTTCAAGGTCGTTCAAGGTCATGTACCTTTTCTCACCTTTTGGCGCTATTTAACACGTGACAGCTTTATATTTATGATGGACATTCGCACTACCTCCTACAAAAACAATATACTGAAATCCAAGGGGCGTTGCTGTACCAAAATGTAAAAAAAGCGTCAAAACCTCTTTCATACAGCTAACAGTTAAATACAAGGGATATTCGAATTTGCAACACATAAAGCAAATTTGTCGGACATGGTCGGACCCCTCCGATATCGTTCAAAATCTCAGGAATGATGCTCCTTGACGTCCTGAACATGAAAATGGTACTCCCTTTGAACGCCGTCAAGAACTTTTCCAGATATACGCATCTATGCACATTCAAATTGCATAGGTGTTGCATACGGACGTTCGGCGGACCCCTCCGATTTTGTTCAAAATCTCAGGAATGATGCTCCTTGACCTCCTGAACATGAAAATGGCACTCCCTTTGAACGCCGTCAAGAACTTTTCCAGATATACGCATCCATGCACATTCAAATTGCATAGGTGTTGCATATGCACGTTCGGCGGACCCCTCCGATTCCGTTCAAAATCTCAGGAATGATGCTCCTTGACCTCCTGAACATGAAAATAGTACTCCCTTTGAACGCCGTCAAGAACTTTTCCAGATATACGCATCCATGCACATTCAAATTGCATAGGTGATGCATATGCACGTTCGGCGGACCCCTCCGATTTCGTTCAAAATCTCAGGAATGATGCTCCTTGATCTCCTGAACATGAAAATGGTACTCCCTTTGAACGCCGTCAAGAACTTTTCGTGATATACGCATCCATGCACATTCAAATTGCATAGGTGATGCATATGCACGTTCAGCGGACCCCTCCGATTTCGTTCAAAATCTCAGGAATGATGCTCCTTGATCTCCTGAACATGAAAATGGTACTCCCTTTGAACGCAGTCAAGAACTTTTCCAGATATACGCATCCATGCACATTCAAATTGCATATGTGATGCATATGCACGTTCGGCGGACCCCTCCGATTTCGTTCAAAATCTCAGGAATGATGCTCCTTGATCTCCTGAACATGAAAATGGTACTCCCTTTGAACGCCGTCAAGAACTTTTCCAGATATGCGCATCAATGCACATTCAAATTGCATAGGTGTTGTATATGCACGTTCGGCGGACCCCTCCGATTTCGTTCAAAATCTCAGGAATGATGCTCCTTGACCTCCTGAACATTAAAATGGTACTCCCTTTGAACGCAGTCAAGAACTTTTCCAGATATACGCATCTATGCACATTCAAATTGCATAGGTGTTGCATATGCACGTTCGGCGGACCCCTCCGATTTCGTTCAAAATCTCAGGAATGATGCTCCTTGACCTCCTGAACATGAAAATGGTACTCCCTTTGAACGCCGTCAAGAACTTTTCCAGATATACGCATCTATGCACATTCAAATTGCATAGGTGTTGCATATGCACGTTCGGTGGACCCCTCCGATTTCGTTCAAAATCTCAGGAATGATGCTCCTTGACCTCCTGAACATGAAAATGGTACTCCCTTTCAACGCCGTCAAGAACTTTTCCAGATATACGCATTCATGCACATTCAAATTGCTTAGGTGTTGCATATGCACGTTCGGCGGACCCCTCCGATTTCGTTCAAAATCTCAGGAATGATGCTCCTTGACCTCCTGAACATGAAAATAGTACTCCCTTTGAACGCCGTCAAGAACTTTTCGTGATATACGCATCCATGCACATTCAAATTGCATAGGTGATGCATATGCACGTTCGGCGGACACCTCCGATTTCGTTCAAAATCTCAGGAATGATGCTCCTTGATCTCCTGAACATGAAAATGGTACTCCCTTTGAAAGCCGTCCAAGAACTTTTCCAGATATGCGCATCAATGCACATTCAAATTGCATAGGTGTTGCATATGCACGTTCGGTGGACCCCTCCGATTTCGTTCAAAATCTCAGGAATGATGCTCCTTGACCTCCTGAACATGAAAATGGTACTCTCTTTGAACGCCGTCAAGAACTTTTCCAGATATACGCATCCATGCACATTCAAATTACATAGGTGTTGCATACGGACGTTCGGCGGACCCCTCCGATTTCGTTTAAAATCTCAGGAATGATGCTCCTTGACCTCCTGAACATGAAAATGGTACTCCCTTTGAACGCCGTCAAGTACTTTTCCAGATATACGCATCCATGCACATTCAAATTACATAGGTGTTGCATACGGACGTTCGGCGGACCCCTCCAATTTTGTTCAAAATCTCAGGAATTATGCTCCTTGACCTCCTGAACATGAAAATGGCACTCCCTTTGAACGCCGTCAAGAACTTTTCCAGATATACGCATCCATGCACATTCAAATTGCATAGGTGTTGCATATGCACGTTCGGCGGACCCCTCCGATTCCGTTCAAAATCTCAGGAATGATGCTCCTTGACCTCCTGAACATGAAAATAGTACTCCCTTTGAACGCCGTCAAGAACTTTTCCAGATATACGCATCCATGCACATTCAAATTGCATAGGTGATGCATATGCACGTTCGGCGGACCCCTCCGATTTCGTTCAAAATCTCAGGAATGATGCTCCTTGATCTCCTGAACATGAAAATGGTACTCCCTTTGAACGCCGTCAAGAACTTTTCCAGATATACGCATCGATGCACATTCAAATTGCATAGGTGATGCATATGCACGTTCGGCGGACCCCTCTGATTTCGTTCAAAATCTCAGGAATGATGCTCCTTGATCTCCTGAACATGAAAATGGTACTCCCTTTGAACGCCGTCAAGAACTTTTCCAGATATGCGCATCAATGCACATTCAAATTGCATAGGTGTTGCATATGCACGTTCGGCGGACCCCTCCGATTTCGTTCAAAATCTCAGGAATGATGCTCCTTGACCTCCTGAACATGAAAATGGTACTCCCTTTGAACGCCGTCAAGAACTTTTCCAGATATACGCATCCATGCACATTGTCGCGGAGGCGCGGAAGTAGAGAGAGACTGAGCGGGCCGAGACTTGTATTCCAACTGTGGTTCTGATTCTGATTCGCCAGTGCCTGTGCGTTATATGCAGGGTGGTTGCACAATGAAGGACCGGTCCGCCGACCCGCCGGGTCGGTGGACGGTGCCGACACGTGGGGAAAGTGACGGCTATTTCTATGTAACAAAGCTTGAACGTGTACTCTCTTTATCATGATATGGAAGAAGGGAATCGGTCCCACATTATCTTCCCTCCCCCAGGGAAGCGTAGGGAACCGAAGCGATCATAACAAAGAGAGGAAACGTTTAGCTGACGGAGAAAGAAATTTCCATATGAGCGTATCACAAAATGGTATGAACAGATAAGTAAGTTTCGTGACAATTACACCTACTACCGGGCGATCCCTCCGCACTCTTGGCGGGGACCGTCCCTGGGCATCTCCATGGCCCTCGGCATCTCTGGCCGAATATCAATACAATATAATTTCAGTGAATTGACCACGATTAACGTATTTGAATGTTCATACCGACTTCAGAATATGCTCTTTCTACGTTTACTAGTGTCAAAATGACACGACAAAGTGCAGGCAAAAATTAAACGCACTTGCAATTTCTCCGTGAATTTTGGGGTGAGCAACCACAATGAAGCGCAACAAACGACAGAACACTGACGAAAACGGATAATGAAACAGTACGGTTTTTGAAACACAACGAAGTTGACACAAATTTCACAGCACAATTTCACTGTCACTTTTTGACGAAAATACAGCAAAAGTTCATAATGGGTGAATTTTCTTGATTTCGGTGCCAATTGTCTTGAATTTAGCGTTGAAGTTTTTTTTCTCTTCTCTTCTCTCCTCCGATCTTGAGTCCTTCAGCGAGGTGGTGTCCATCACTCGATGATGCTGAGGAGGACGGCGCGGGCTGTTGAGCCGTGCGCTGTCGGCGGGCTCCGTAGTAGTCCAGGGCAGCTGATGACGTTGCCGCAGGGCAGATGGTATTGCCGGGCAGAGCTACTCACTGGAGACGGTGATGTCGGACG